TTCTTATTTTACCCTTGATCGTCCCTTTTTCCTTTTGTCCTCATACTCTGCCCTTTTGGTCTTTTTACAATTCTTTTTTTTTTATTTTTTATTTTTGGTGTCCTTGTTCATCCTTGAACCTTGCTCTTTTCTTTACTTTTAGCATGGACAAAAACCTATTTTAGCATTTTACCTTAATAAGTTTGTGGGTTTTATCTTCTCACCTTATATTATAATACTTTTAGTCCTTAATAAGTTTATAGTTTTTATCTCTTCACCTTATAGTATGACATTTTTAGTCTCTCATCTATACGAATTGAAAAAATAACTCTCACTTAACATTAGGTTATAACATTCTGTTAGTTCTGTTGATTGAATGTTAACTTTGTTAACTGACTATTAGGATCTGTTAGCATTCCGTTATAGAAACATAAAATTTTAATCCAATTTTATTTGTTAATTCCATTAATGGAATTACTAATAGAATGCTAACAGTCAACTAACAGAATTAATAGAACATTATAACTTGACTTTATTTGTCATTTTTTTTAATTCGTATAAATGAAGAGCTAAAAGTGTTATAATATAAGACGAGAAGCTAAAACCTATAAACTTATTAAAATAAAGGGTCAAAAGTAGGTTTTAGTCTTTAGCAGGGGGCGAAAAGGGCATTTAATGTTTAAGTCTATTAACTCAATGTGATTTTCCTCTTTCGCCCTTACATTTTATCTAGTCTCGTTTGGTTCTTTTGTCTTTTTGAGTTAAAAAAAATGCTACTTTGTTCAATCATATTTGATTGTTTCCCTTTTCATGCTTGCCTTTGGAATCAGAGGATTGCAAAAAAGCTTGCAGAAAAGCTAACATGGGAGGGGAAATTTAGAATCTGGTCAACATTGAATCTCTATTGAGTCGAAACGAAAACACTAAGCTCACAATTTTGGTATAAAAATGTAAATAGAAGTGTTAATTTTATATTTTTTTATTTAAAGATATTAATTTTAATAGTTTTTAAATAAAAATATTAATTTTTAATTTTTTTCTATTTTAAGGATACTAACTTTTAATTTATTCTATTTAAAAATTAATTAACGTGGCAAGCTAAATTTTTAACTGAAATATTAAAAACTAACATCTTTAAATAAAAAAAATTAAAAATTAACTTTGTTAAATATAACAAATTAAAAAGTTAATATCTTTGTTTAAAACTTAAAAAAATTCACATTCTCAATTAATAAAAATATAAAATTAACATGTTTATATTTTTCTCAGCGTTTTTGTTTCTTCCATTTTCCTTTCCTTGTCCATTCCAATTCCTTTCCCCTTTGGCGCTCTCTCCTTTCTCCTCTTCTCTCTACTTCTCCTATCGTACTTGAATCACGTTTTCCCTAGACAATCAAATCTAAAAGAGACAGCAAAGTCATTGGATTATGAAGATTAAGGCGAGTAAGTGGATAGTTGGTGATGGGAAAAAGCTCGAAGGTAGATGTTGTGCAGAAATTATGCTAAAATGAATGTTAAAGAGTTGACAATTCTTTTCATCACTGTCTTTGCAATTCCTTTTTTTTTTTTTTTGATTTTCCATTATTATTTCCTTAAATTAAACTGACAATGGTCGTGTTGGACTAGAAGCACCGCGCTCATCCAAGCATTGTTGAGGCATGGATCTCTGACGGAGGAGTTCCACTTCGTTTTCACTAGAATCACTGGTCTAAACCCAGGTTCTCTTTGTCTTGAAGTTTTAGTATTTTTTTATTGGGTCTCCTATTGTTTTCTTCTAATTTTGATTTTTTTTTTGAAATTCGATAATTTTTGTTGATAAAGATATTTGATATTTTTATGATGTTTTTTGTTGAAACTTGAAATCAAAGATGAAATAGTTATTATCAATTACAACTAAAGCAATAGTGTCATTAATGTTGGAGTTGTTTCCACTTATGCTTAGGCAACCCAATTAGGGGATTAGAGGTGAAAAAATGAGTGTAGCAGGGGAGGGGGAGGGTAGGATTTTAGCATTTTAATAATAGTAACTAAAAAAAGTGAAAATCCATATAATGCCATAAAAATATTTGCTTGATCTTGGTCAGACCTATGTGTGGCTCACTTGAGGTTGAGCTGGGCAAGTTGTACATGAATTGCTTAATCTGTTTACCTATACTCTTTAACATGGTTGGAGAAGTTTTAACATTTTAATAATAACAAATGAGTTATATAAAAGTATGTTTGGATGAACAAGATCAATTTAATGGAGAAGTTCCTTAGAAAGTTAATGTTTGGTTGTTAATTGTATAAGAGAGTCAAGTTTTTATGGTTAATTATTATGATTTTTGTAGTTATTGAATTGTTTAATCTATTTATCCATACTTTTATGTGGTTAGTATATTTGAAGCAATTAATCATCCAGAACCATTTAAAGCACTCATTGTTGCAGGGTACAATGTTGTGGATGTCAAACTGGTTGAGAATTCTGAGTTAGGTGTATCAAACAAAACTCCTAAGTTCTAAAGATGAACCCTATTGGAAAGTTATTTGTCTGAGTTGAGATGTTGCAAAACAACAATATTTAGTCATAATTCCATTGATTGTTGTGGTGAGCATAATTCTCCCTCCCTCCCCTCAGTCCTTTGTAGTCCTTTGATGATTTCCTCAAAACTCATGAGATTTATTCGGTTTGTTACAATTACCAGCTTGAAGGTTGACATTCCTTTTTATGGTTCTACTTTAATTGATTATATAAGACCTTTTTATCATCCTAATATCTTTTTAATTCTTTTATTCAAAAGATGTCTGAGTAAATTTTGTTGTGTGTTATATAATCTTTATTATGATATATTTTCTTCATTTTTTAAGATCACTTTGAGCAGTGGATTAATTTTGCATTAATAAAGATTGATCCTAACATTTCAAAATGTTTTTATCCCAATAAGGGATGCGGTGT